GATGCCAGCACAGGGAAGACTGAGCCCATCTGGCTGCAAAGGAAGTCAGGATGAATCTCTCCAACTCAGCCTCTGCTCTGTCCCAGGCTCCCATTTTGGGGTTTCAAAGAGCTGTGTCCTGTGGAGATTCTGCGCAGCTCCCCACTCCCTGTTCCACCAGCCATAAATAAAATGGGTGACCCCAGGACAGTCAGCAGGGCAGAGGACAGAGGACTCTCAAGATGGTCAGGGAGAAAATAGGCCTCAGCCCAAGCTCAGCCAGCAGAACCCAGGGAGCAAGAGAAAGGCTAAGATCTGTCCCTGGTGACCATGGGGCCCACAGACTCCACTGAGCGACCAGCACAGGCCTCTACCCCCAGAGGCAAGAGAAGTTCACCGTGTACACAATATTGAGTCTTCCAGTCTATGCAAATGAAATGTCTTCATTTATTGATGTCGTCTTTAATTTCTTTCAGCAATGTTTTGTAGTTTTCAGGTATAATCTTTTGACCTTTTTGGTTAAACTTATTGCAAAATATTTTATTCTTTTTGATATTAATGTGAATTCAAATTCTTAATTTCTTTTCAGATTGTTCATTGTTAGTGCATAGAAATACAACTGATGTTTGCATGTTGATTTTGTATCCTGCAACCTTACTGAATTTATTTATTAATTCCAACAAGTTTTTTATCTTTAGTGTTTTCTACAGGTAAGCTCAAGTTATCTGTGAACAGAGATTATTTTACTTCTTCTTTCCAATCTGAACGTCTTATATTCTTGCCTAATTTCTCTGGCTAGGACTTCCAATACTACATTGAATAGAAGTGGCAAAAGCATACATCCTTGTATTGTTCCTGATCATACAGGGAAAAGGTTCTGTCTTTCTCCATCGAGTATAAGCACAGGCAAAGATGCTCAATGTCACTAATACTTAGAGATATGCAAATCGAAACCACAGTAATAAACCATCTCGCACACGTCAGGATGGCTTTGATTTAAAAACAACAACACGAGCCGGGCGCGGTGGCTCACGCCTGTAATCCCAGCACTTTGGGAGGCCGAGGCGGGTGGATCACGAGGTCAAGAGATCGAGACCATCCTGGTCAACATGGTGAAACCCCGTCTCTACTAAAAATACAAAAAATTAGCTGGGCATGGTGGCGCGTGCCTGTAGTCCCAGCTACTCAGGAGGCTGGGGCAGGAGAATTGCCTGAACCTAGGAGGCGGAGGTTGCAGTGAGCCGAGATCGCACCATTGCACTCCAGCCTGGGTAATAAGAGTGAAACTCTGTCTCAAAAAAAAAAAAACAAAAAAACAAAAAAAAAACAACAACACGGAACAACAAGCGTTTTCAAGTAGGTGGAAAAATTGGAGCTGTAATGGATGCTGATGGAAATGTGAAATGTTATAGCCTCTGTGGAAAACAGTATGGCTGGTTCTCAAAAAAAATAAACAAAGAATTACCATTTGATCCACAATTCCACTTCTGGACATATCCCCAAGAGAACAGTAAGTAATTTGAACACCGACATTCACAGCATTATTACTCACAAGAGCCAACACAGGGAAACAATTGGAAAGTCCATTAAAAGATAAGTAAATAGACAAATGAGGCGTAGCTATGCAATGGAATGTAACCTAAACTTAACAAGGAATAAAATTCTAGTACATGGTGCACAATGGAGGAACCTTGAAGACGGGATGCTAAGTGAAATAAGCCAGATGCAAAAGGACAAGGATTATAGAATTCCATTTACATAAGACAGCTAGAAGAGTCAATTCGATACAGAAGGAAAGTAGAATGGTGATTCCCAGGGGTTAGGGGGAGAAGGAGTGAGAGTTATTGTTTGTTTGGTGGGTATGGGGGTTTAGTATGGTCAGATGAAGAAGTTCTGGAAATAGATAGTGTGTTGGTTACACAACACTAAATTGCACACTTAGAAATAAGTTAATAAGTCTTTTATATATGTGTGTGTATATATATGCATATATATATGGCTTTACATATATATAGTGTCTGCTAGTCTTACCCTCTCTATAAATACACACTTTATGGCACTGTCTGTTTCCTGCCATGCAGAATCCCCATGGGTGAATCTCCCGATTTCTCCAAGTGTGCATCACTCACTGTCCTCTGGGCTGTGTCCCACGTGCTGTGTCAACAGCCTCATACAGCTGGTGATGTCAGAGCCAGGACACAGCTCAGGAGTCTGCCCTGAGGCTCCCTCTCTCTCCATTGCCCTGCACCCTGACCTGGAGGAGGTTTGGCTTCAACCAGCAGCTTGATTTGGTCAAATTCAGGAAAAGCCACCTGGGCTCCTTCTCCACACATGCTGGTCCCACCCCAGGTGGAGTCAGGCGGGGCCAGTCACCAGGCGAGGCCAAGGAAAAGCAGGGAGCAGAGTCTCAGCTGCTCCTCCCTCATCCAAGGGGCTTCCTCCTCTGATTTAGGGGGAAAGTGTGAGCTTGTTTCAAAGCCTCAGATGTTCCTTATAGCTCATGGAGCAGGTAAAAGAAAACAGAGGTGACAGAAAGGCATGTGTTGGTGACAGAGAGAAGCAACTTGACCTTAAGAACTCTCCTCCTTGTCCTCCTGTGAAGCCTCTTCCACTACACAGGGCTCGGGGCTGAGGATGCTCCTTCCCTGCATTGCTCAGGCCAGACACAAGGTCAGGCACGAGAAGTCAGAAAAACAAGAAGGAGAGAGTCTGTAACAGAGATGAATTAGGAGGTTCAGAAGGAGAATTTGGGATTTGCTTGGGCCCATGGGACACAGGCTGGGAATAAACATGTTTTCCTGACTCTTCTCTGAAAGCCACCGATTGCCAGGGATGCCGGGATCCACTTACCCGGGACTGTGATAGTCTTGAATATGGAACTTCTCTTGCAAGTGGCTAGGTTCTGAGCAAAACAACCATAGAGCCCGTTATCCTTTGCAGTGATTTGGGGGATACAGATCTCTTGTGTTTGTCGATAGATCCTCCCATAAATCGTCCAAAAATACTGTGCAGGTGGGTTAGAGGTTGTGTGGAGCTGTAACATATGTGTAACCTCGTGTGGAATCTGCAGATCCATGTGGAATAAAATACACAGCCTGGCCTGCGGTCCTTCCTGCTCACACTTCCCTCCCTGTCCACCAGAGGGCGGCAGAGAAGAAAACCTAGGGGGGCAAAGTAGGACTGAAGCTGAAAAGGGTCCAGCAGCTGCCCATTCCAGGTGAGGACCCCAAGGTGGGCCAGGCAGCAATCAGCAAAACCTAGGAGAGGCACCAGGGGCTGACTCCCGGTCCTGTGTCTGTTCACGACCCAACACTGCTGCTCAATTCATACTGTGCAGGTGCCCACGCACAGCAGGTGGCCTCACAGCCTCGGAGCCCTCAGATCGCCATGCATCTGTCATGTGACACACACACCTGCTGTGGGCTTTCAAGGACTCGGGTGGGCTGAGCGGTGTGAGATGCCAACTCTGATTAAAAGATGCCCATGGAGGAATCACAGGTGCCACACAGGGCAATCTTCTCTCTGTTTTCTGCATAGCTGCCCAAGCCCTCCATCACAGTAACAACCCCAACCCCGTGGAGGACCAGGATGCTGTGGCCTTAACCTCTGAACCTGAGACTCAGGAATCCACCTACCTGTGGTGGGTAAACAATCAGAGACTCCCATCCAGCCCCAGGCTGTCGCTGTCCAATGACAAAAGAACCCTCACTCTACTCAATGTCTCAGGAAATGACACAGGACCCTATGAGTGTGAAATACAGAACCCAGCGAGTGCCAGCGCAGTGACCCAGTCACCCTGAATGTCACCTGTGAGTATCTTCTGTTCCTCTGTGACCCAGGCTGCCAGACCAAATCCACAAGGCCAGAGGCCAGCCCTCTCAGTCCCTCTCAGGTCCAATTACAAGACCCTCACCCCTAGACACCCAGGCTGGCCATGACTTCCTGCCCCAGGCCAACCTGGGCAGTCCCAGCCTTTACCAAGAATATATGGAAAGGGGATGCTCCCGTCCTGTGAGGCCCAGGGTCCACATCTTCTGATGAGAGAAACGGGTAATGTCTCAGACTTGGCCTCAGTTAACACAGCAGGTTTTGGCTGGGACTTCAAGATTGTGACTTGGCTCAGAGGGACACTGTCCCTTCCACGGACCAGGAGCTTCCCCTTCCCTCTGATGATATAACCTGTGGCTTTATTCCTCCCATAAATCGTCCAAAAATACTGTGCAGGTGGGTTAGAGGTCGTGTGGCAGGAGAGACTGAGGTTTGTGCCTGGATGACAGTAGGAGTCTGAGGGGGAAATGGTGGGGGTGTCCGGGCCATCTGCAGCAAAGAGAATAAAGTGTGATCTCCTGGCCCCAGTGATTGCTGCGTTTACATCCACCCCTCAAAGCCCCCTGCTGGAAATCTGTCAGATAACACCCTGGACCCAATAAAGCCATTGGCCTACAGGTCCTTCCTGTCTTCCCTGCTGGGCTCCCTGACAATCTCTAGGTGTGCCGCATGCTCCCCAGTGTTTGTAAATAGTAAAAAAAAAAAAAAAAAAAAAAAAAAAAAAAAAAAAAAAAAAAAAAAAGAGACAAGAAAAATACACTTACCATTTCACATGATGGTTGTACACTGACGCCTCCATCTCATCTGGGTCCAGACATGGAGGTTGTCACATGTGGCAGGAACAGAGGTCAGTAATTTGAGGATCAAAGAATGGGCAGCAGGTTTGAGAGGTGAACAGGTGTGAGAGGTGGACGGGTGAATTTTGAGGACATACAAAACACCTTCCTTCCCCATAATAAGGGAACGTTTAGGCCCCTAAGGTTCAGAGAGGGCCCAGGGCAGGGGCATCAGGATGCTGTCAGCTCACGGGGCCGAGAGTGAGACTCCAGCACTGCCTGGTTACTAGGTCTATTTTGGGATGGATTCTGCAAGGGGATGTTTTATCCTTCAGGGGGCATTTGGCAAAGTCTGGGATATATTGGTTGTTGGTTGTCAGAGCTGGGGAGGGAGTCCTGCTAGTGCTGAGTGGGTAGATCCCCCAGATGCTGCTGAGCACCCCACAGCTCGCAAAGCCCCACCAGCATGGCCACCCCGAATGCCAGTGCTGAGGAGCCAGAGCCCTGCTGTGCCTCCCACAGCTTCCCTGAAGCGTCCCCTCACCTGCTCCTCCCATCTCTCCTGATCACTTCCCCTCCTCCCCCTCCTCCTTTCCTCTCAGGTCCCTCCACCTGAACTCACTCTTTTTTTTTTTTTTTTGGGGGGGGGGCGGAGTTTCGCTCTTGTTACCCAGGCTGGAGTGGAGTGCAATGGCGCGATCTCGGCTCACCGCAACCTCCGCGTCCTGGGTTCAGGCAATTCTCCTGCCTCAGCCTCCTGAGTAGCTGGGATTACAGGCACGCGTCACAATGTCCAGCTAATTTTTTGTATTTTTAGTAGAGACGGGGTTTCACCGTGTTGACCAGGTTGGTCTCGATCTCTTGACCTCGTAATCCACCCGCCTCGGCCTCCCAAAGTGCTGGGATTACAGGCTTGCGCCACCGCGCCCGGCTGAACTCACTCTTATTCCAAAGCCAGCCCTGATGTCTCCACTCTCCTGGCCCCTTTTTGCTCCTTAGCAGGAGGCGCCCCCTAGAGGGCGCCCTCACCCTTTCTAGAGCTCATGGCTCCCTTTCCATCCGGAGACAAACGTGGCTGCTTCTACTGCCACAACCCCAGCCCTTCACACTCTTTAGATTTGCTCAGGGGGGACCTCCTGGACAGGCATCAGAGACCCCAGGGAGGAGCCTCACTCTGGAGATTTTGGTGGCGTGGACTGGAGACCTGGAGCCACCCCAGGGCCCAAGTCTTTGGGGAAGGGATGGGTTCATGCAGGGAGGCTACACTCTCAGGGTCCAGAGGTCCCTGCTCTGTGTGGCCACTAAGGACATGACCATGCACCAGGGTCCCTAAGGGTCCTGTCACTCAATCTATGCCAAGGGACATGGCTGGGCTGTTGTAGAACATTCCAGATGGGGCCTTTCCCAGTGGAGATGAGTCCTCCCAGGGATTTCAGAGAGGGTCCTTAGCTGGAAGAATCAGCAGCAATGTGTCAGTCACAGGGCTCAGGTTTCCCTCAGGGCCTGAAAAGAGGGCTCTCTTTTCATCATGTCTCCACCATGATGGAATAATGCGGAATTTCATGCAACGCCATTTCACTTCTGTTCTGCTCATTATAATTTTTTTCTAGCGAATCTGTTGATGTAGCAAGGGCAATTGTTCTTTTCTGGGTGTTAAACTCACCTTGCATTTCTGGAGAACAAACTCAACTGGGTAAATCCTGCTCCTTTGGGTCACAGTTCATTTAGGGTCTTTTTCTCTGTGCTCCAAAGCAGGGACTGCAATTTTACTTCCTCATTGTGTCCTGGTCTGGTTTTTTTGTTTGTTGGTTGTGTTCGTTTGTTTTGAGATGGAGTCTAGCTCTGTCTCCCAGGCTGGAGTGCAGTGACTTGATCTCAGCTCACTGCAACCTCTGCCTCCTGGGTTCAAGCAATTGTCCTGCCTCAGCCTCCCAAGTAGCTGGGGTTACAGGTGCCTGCCACCATGCCTGGCTAATTTTTGTATTTTTAGTAGAGATGGGGTTTCACCATGTTGGCCAGACTGCTCTCGAACTCCTGACCTCAGGCGATCCACCTGCCTCAGCCTCTCAGAGTGCTGGGATTACAGGTGTGAGCCACTGAGGCCAGCCGCGGTCTGCTTTTGACATGAAAGATGAGTTAATGAGTATTGTTTATTTTTCCTATTCTCTGGAAGTGTTGTGTAAGTCTGATAACAGCTTGTCTTTGATTGTTTTGTGGATATTGGTTTTTTATTTAACCTAAAGAGATTTTATACTTTTTTTTTTTTTTTGGTGAAGTAACATGGACATAGCAGTAACATCTGCATGTGTGTGAGTAATGTCTGCATGTGTGTGTGCCAATGACAGCCCTGTCCAGATCAAGACAGACCAATTGCCTGCACCAGGTGGCACTCCCATGCACACCAGGTGGCACTCCCATGCCTACTCCCATGCCCCTCCCGTCATTCTGATCTCTAGCACCAGAGATGGGTTTTGCCTCTTGGGAGCTTTATAGAGGTAGAATCAGTCATCATTTTCCTTTCTTTTTTTTTGAGATGGAGCCTCACTCTGCTGTGGAGTGCGGTGGTGAGATCTGAGCTCCTCGCAACCTCCGCCTCCCAAGCTTTTAAGCAATTCTCTGCCTCAGCCTCCTGAGTAGCTGGGATTACAGGTGTGCACCACCACGCCCAGCTAATTTTTGTATTTTTAGTAGAGACAGGGTTTCACTATGTTGGCCAGGATGGTCTCAATCTCTTGACCTCATGATCCGCCTGCTTCAGCCTCCCAAAGTGCTAGGATTACAGGCGTGAGCCACCGTGCCCGCCCCTAGGACCCACTTTTATCTCTGGGCAGAAGGAACCTCACTGTGGGTCACAGAGCAGAGGGCCTCAGCGTCCTGAGAGCTGAGCGGTAGGCAGGTGCAGCCCCCACCCACCCCAGGCACAGCCCTGGAGGCCTGGCCTCCCAGGAACAGAGAACACAATGTCCCCAGATCTCCTGTCCCCACTGCCCTCCCTGCTGGGGCAGCCTCCCCTGTCTGGGCTCCTGACCTCCCTCTCCCTATCTGGGCTCCTGTGCCCTCCTCAGCCCAGGTCATGTCGGCCCCCAGGCTTCTCTCTTGGGTGCCCCCAACACACGCCACGGCCCCTCCCAGCAGTAACAATACGGTCAGGGAGCCAGACGTGTTGCAGGACAAGGGGCTGACAGAACCCCTCAGATGCCGGAGTGAGGGGGGAAAAGTCTAATCAGCTGTGCAGTATGGGTAGACTCATGTCCAAAAAGCAACCTCCCCGAAAAGCAGTTTCTTTCCCTTTTTAAAGACGTACAACTCCGAAGAGGAGCAGAAGTGAAACTGAGTTACTGTCCATTGGCTGGACATTTGGCCTTACGAGCCCCTGCCTTCACGTGGACTCCCAGAGCTGACGGGGTAGATATGGTTGGATTCCTGGGTGCTCTTCAGGGAAGGCTGGGGGACTGAGGGAGAGCCCCACCCCGGAGGGCCCTGTGTGCTTGTTCATATCACCTACCTGGGTGGGGACACTGGGGTGCTCCTCTCCTAGGCACCCTGTCCTGCCCCTTCTCTAGATGAACCCCCACTGGCTGCCTCTATGGGGCACCACCCTCCTCCCCACTGTGCTCAGGGCAGGGACGCTGAGGAGGCTCCGTGCTCCACAGGGATGGGTGAAGAGGGAGGGCTGGCGCTCAACAGGACTGCCACGTGGTGGGAGGAGCTGTGATCTGGGGAGTAGAGGGGGGCAGGAGCACCAGGGAACATCCCCTTAGGCCTGGGCGCGGTGCTCTAGGGAAGGTGCCCTCTGGAGTTATGCATCTCCGTGCCCACTGTGCTCAGCTGCCCCTCACACAGGGAGAGTGAAAGGGCAGCTTCCTTCTAATGGGGGTTCAGGGGTGCACAGTTCCTAGAGCCTGTGGGGAGAGGGAGATGCCAGAGGGAGACAGCCCCTGGGCCTTGGGAAGTTTGAGGGAATGACTGAGGCCAGATGCTACATGGACATCTCATGAACCCTCTCTGCAGGGGCGTCAGGGTATCTGAGAACCCCCTATGGTGTTTGGGGTGAAGGTCACTCCCTTCATCCTGGGGACTGGGGGTTTGTGGTCCAGGAGGAGGGGTCTGGCAGGGACTGCTCAGGCTTGGAGAGTGGGGGTGTTCAGGAACTTGGGGTTCATCCATAGCCTGATTCAGCCTGGGCTTGTGTCCCCATGAGCAGGTATCTTCCCGGGGTGCTGGTGACACCCCATGGGGGAGAGATCTTGTCCTGGCCAGTACTCATCTCTTGTGGGGTCTTAGCCCAGGGTATCCCTCTCCCTGTAGAACACAGGGTCACCCTCACTGTGGAGATGGCGCAGCTGAGACCAACACAAGGTGGGGTGGGTGTCGATGATCTCAAGGCAACCAGAGTAATGACATCAATTCACAGCGCTGAGCATTTATTGACAAGTTCTCCAAGGACCTTCCACCTCCATCCCATTGCTCTTCCCAAGGGCTCTACAAAGGAAGTGGGTGATTTACCACCATTTTACAGGAAAAGCATCGATTTAGAGCTGACTAACTTGTGGGGGGACTGAGGTGGCTGGTGTTTCACAGTCAGTGTGAGGGGCTCACTTCTGCAGGAGCTGGCCGCGTGGGAGACCTCACACTGACCCTCCCCAGAGTTCTCCCTCCTAATGGGGTCTATGCTGAGCATGCAGTGGTCCCAGGACAGCCTCACGTTCTCTGTGACCTGCAGACTGTGGTCACTGAAGGTCCACTGAATGGAGGTTCCCGTGTCACTTGTGAGGCAGGTCGGGACCACACAGTCCTTCTGTTCCGTGACTGTGTTGCTTGCTGCTGGCTTGGATGGAAGGCTGAACCACTGGCCCTGTGGACAAACAGAGGAGGTGACCGACTGGGAGTGGCCTGGGCCCTGGGGTCACGCTTTGTCCTCAGAGATCCCAGCCAGCTCTCAGGTCCCACAGTGAGCTATGCAAGGTGACCACCCCAGGGATGGCCCCGACCCCCTGCAGGAAGCGGAGCACCCGTTCAGGTGGGGGTCTGTGAAGAGAGGTCCTCTCTGACCCCAGGTCACCCAAGGCTGCCCCCTGCCTGCCCTCTGCCTGCCCCCTGCCTCCTCCCTGGCTGCCCCCTGCCTGCCCCCGGCTGTCTCTGCTGTATCTGCCTTGGGACCCTCTCCTGGCTGTGTGTCTGGCATCCTCACACCAGAGAGATGGCTTCTCCCAGTGGCTTCTGGGTGACCCTTCCTTAGCATTTTCTGTGACTCCATCAACAGCACCTTCTCCTGCTGTGCACTCAGGTGTGCTGGGGAAGGCAGGCTGGCCAGCTGTGTTCATCCCTGGGCTGGGGAAGATTTACATGAAACTAGGAAATCATTTCCTATTGCTGGATAATTTGTTAGTGAACAAGGACACCACAACTCAGTCTTGATGATCTTAGAGCCTTAACAATTTCCAATCTGAAGGATTTCTGAATCTAACAGAATTTCACTTCTGCACATTGAGTATCATAATGAAGGAAATCTCTAGAGATACGTGCTCATGGTTTTGCAAAAGCCTGGCACTTGTAGGAACAGGAGGAAATGGCCTCAACAGAATAACGGCCATACACGGAAAGCTTCCAATTAATATCACACTCAGAAGAACACGAAAACTCTTCCTCTAAAATCAAAACAGGCCAGGGGCGGTGGTTCATGCCTGTAATCCCAGAACTTTGGGAGGCCAAGGTGGGTGGATTACTTGAAGTCAGGAGTTCCAGACAAGCCTGGTCAACATGGCGAAGCCCCATCTCTACCAAAAATACGAAAATTAGCCAGGCATGGTAGCAAGTGCCTGTAATCCCAGCTACTCAGGAGGCTGAGGCAAAAGAATCGCTTGAACCTGGGAGGCGGAGGTTGCAGGGAGCTGAGATCGCACCATGCACTCCATTTCCAGCCTGGCAACAGGGCCAGACTCTATCTCAAAATAAAATAAAATAAGACAAGGGTGCTGTGGTTTTGCTGTTGTTGTTTTCTTCTTTTAAAGGCTAGTCAAGTGAAGCAGCAGGAGCAGAAGAACAAATAAATCTGTAACTGGTTGTGATCAATTAGCATAACCCCCACTGCACTTGGCCAGCCAAGGATGCTGCTGTTATCACTTCTGTAAGTCTGTACTGGACGTCCCGGCCACAGCAATCCACCGGAAAAATAAATCAAGGCATCCAAATGGATCAGGAAGAAGAAAAATTATCTCTGCAGATGACATGATCCTATACGTAGAAAAATATGCGATCCTACACCCGGAAAACAACTCTGTTAGAACGAATAGAGAAAATTTGCCAAGGACATAAAATCCACAGGCAGTCATGAGCTGTGTTCTCTCCACCCACTATGAACAATGTACATGAAATTATGAAAACCACTCATTTACAATAGCATCAAAAAGAATAAAACGCTTAATAATAAACTTAAGGAGGCAGAAAACTTGCACTAAAAATCACAAAACAAAGGTAAAACAATGTAAAGAATAAAGACATACATGCGGAAACAGCCTGTGTTCACAGACTGGAAGACAATGTTTCTCAGTGATCCGCATATTCATAAAATTCCTACAAAAGTACGAATGACACTCTGCCGAAATAGAAAACCTACCATAAAATTCATGAGGAATTTCGAATAGCCAAAAACATCTTGAAAAAAAATTTTTTTTTTTCTTCCAAAAGAAATCTGGAAGTTGGAGGCCAGGTTCAGTGGCTCATGCCTGTAATCCCAGCACTTTGGGAGGCTGAGGCAGGCAGATCACCAGGTCAGCAGTTCGAGATCAGCCTGACCAACATAGGGAAACCCCATCTCTACTAACAACACAAAATTAGCTGAGCATGGTGGTGCATGCCTGTAATCCCAGCACTTTGGGAGACTGAGGCAGGAGAATTGCTTGAACCCGGGAGGTGGAGGTTGCAGTGAGCCAAGATCACGCCATTGCACTCTAGCCTGGTTGATGAAGTGAGACTCTGTCTCAAAAAAAAAAAAGAAAGGAAGAAAAAAAAAGAGATCTGGGAGTTGCAAATCTCACACTTCTGGATTACAAAATTTCCACAGAGCCACAGTGATCAAAAGACTGTGGTCTGGCCTTGGAGACCAATGGAATAGAATAGAGGCTGCAGAAGCGGCCAGGCACACTTTCTCCATTCTGTTCCTGCCCGTGGGGACACTGACTGCCCCTAGGGTTTTTCTTAACTTCCCCATTCAGTTTAATGATCCGGGGAGCTGGTCCATCTGTCCTCTCCAGGCTGAGACTCAGCAAAAGGCGGAGGCGCTCTCCTTGCCCAGTTGAGGCTCTGGGGGCTGGGCCCTGGCTGGTGACCAGCTCAATGAGCCACAGCCCTTGGACAGCTGGTAGATCATTCCTCCCAGTCAGCTCTGCCCAGGAGGCCACAAGCTAGCCCTGGCACAGGTTCCTTAAGAGTCACCTGGAGTCAGGAGCCCTGGGGTTGAATTTTGGTGAGGATCCCAGGGGGCCTCTCAGGCCAGGCCCTGACCCAGTTCTCCAGGGTCTTTCTCAAGGTCAGGCTCATGGGGAGGGCACGGGGGGAAGGGGGGCTTGGGGGAGACTGACTTCCCCCCGATGCGTGCCCCACCTCCCCCATCAGACTGTCCTTCCTCTGCAGTGAATGTCTGCAGGGTCTGGATGCAGGAAAGGGATTCTGATCTGTGGAAGTTTGTCTCCCCTGTGTGTGTCCTGCACTAAATGCCCAAACCCCAACACAGCACGTAATGCAGAGGGGGACACAAGCACAGCCCAGGCCTGACTGTCCCTGCATGTGAAGCAGAACTGACCCCCAACACCTAGAAGTCCAGAAGGAATCACTCACGCTACATGCATAACTCGCCAGTTACTCTGTTAACAAGCAAATCCCATTTCATGAGCTGCAGGTTGTATAGTCCTGTGTCATTCCGGGTGACGTTCTGGAGCAGCAGGCTTCCATTGCTATGCAGTATCTCTCGGCCGCTGTATAAAGGCCCTGTTATATATAGTCTTTTCAATCGTTCTATATGCTATAATGAAATGACTACGCTCCACCGTGGCCCCTCTGTGCCACATGATGCCAATATATGACTTTGGCAAGTTGTGGACAATCATGAGAACATTCTTCCCCTCTGTGGCTCTGGTGGCACGAATTCCATAGTGAGAACTTCAAGGTCCTGGGCAGTGGGAGGGTTCCAGAAGCTTACAAGTGAGGCTAGGAGAGGAAGAGAGTATCCGTCAACACTGGGACCCATGTGTTGGGGTGGAAAGATGGGGCCCTGGGTCCTGAGCGTGGGCTCTTCACCCCTCAGCCTTGGAGAGTAAGAATTTGTGCGTGTGTGTGTGTGCGTGTGTGTCTTACTGTGTCAAGGTCAGCAGTGTGATCCCTACCCCCATTCCTTCAGTGCCTCTGACCTTGGCATTTCCCTGTGTGGAATCCTCTTCCCCAGGGGTCCACATGGCTCTCCCCACTACCCTCAGATTCTGCTTATACCAGGCTGTTCTTAAAAGAGCCCTCCCCTGGGATAGCATTAGGAGAAATACATAATGTAGATGATGAGGCGATGGATGCAGCAAACCACCCCATGGCACATGTGTACCTATGTAACAAGCCCGCACGATCCGCACATGTGCCCCAGAACTTAAAGTGTAATAAATACATTTAAAGAAAAAAGATCCCTCCCCTGACACCTCCTCTAGAGACCCTGGGTCTTCCCTTTCTGACCTTTCCCAGCTCTGTTCCCTCCCGGGCTCTTGTCAACACCTGACCTCACATTCTAGATCTCTTTGCATGTCTGCCTTCCTCCCCATGAGAGCGTGAGCTCCGTGACAGCAGGGACTCGTGCGATCTGGGTTGCACCCCAGTGCCTGGGATCGTCTGCAGCCTCCTGTGGATGAGCTCATGAGCCTTCCCAGGGCCCTCCGCAGCCTGGGGTTTATTTGCCAATGCCTGAGGTCGGAGGGTGAGGACAGTGACTGTGCTGTTGTGGAAATGGGTTCTGCATGGGGACCTGGAAGTGAGGTGGAGGCGCCGGCCAGGGAGAGAACACACAGGACCCACGATGGCTGCTACTGCCCAGGATGTCCCTACTGCCTCAGGGATGTCACCCAGATTGTAGCGGGGAGAGGCTTCCTTTAAGTAGAGAGTAAATAGACTAAGAAAGAGGCAGATGGCTCCACGTGCCAGAAATGTTCTTTTCCTTTTCTCTCCCTTTTCTCCCTCTCCTTTTTTTTTTTTTTTTTTTTTTAATGGAATTTCCCTCTGTCACCCAGGCTGGAGTGCAATGGTGCAATCTCGGCTCACTGCAACCTCAGTCTCCTGGGTTCAAGTGATTCTCCTGCCTCAGCCTGCGCAGTAGCTGGGATTACAGGTGCGTGTGCCACCATGCCCAGCTAATTTTTTGTATTTTTAGTAGAGACAGGGTTTCACCGTGTTGATCAGGCTGAACTCCTGACCTCGTGATTTGCCCGCTTTTGCCTTCCCAAGTGCTGGGATTACAGGCGTGAGCCACCGCGCCCGGCCTTCTTCTCCTTTTCTTCTCATGATATAATGTGCTAGTGAGTCACGAAGGGCACATGGGGCCTTCCCTGTGTGGCTGCTGCCCGAGACTGCCTGGTCTGTAAGTTCCCCCAGAGCAACCCTTTGCCCCGACCCATGGCGTGCGTGGCCTCTCTTGGGCCCAAGCGTGCCCTCTGCTTACTCAGTGCGGGTCTCACGCCAGGCAGGAAGTTGCCCAGGGGTCCCTGGGAAGGTTTTCTTTCTGCAGCGTCACGGTGACATACATGGTTGCGTTTCTTATCATTTTTCAGTATTTAGTGACCACTGATGACTGCCTTAGAAACATGGAGAATTGAGGTTTTCCTGCCCCTTGCCAGTTCCAGTTCAATGTGACTTTCCTGGTGTGACCCTGGTCCCTTTCTGGTGTCCTTTCTCCTATTCAGGCTTCAACAGAAGCCCTCTGTCCCCTCTCAGAGCCCAGTTCTCCCCAGGAGACCCCAGCCAGTCTCTGTGCTCCCTCCTCTCACCCTCTCCCGGGGAGTCCTCCCCTTACCTGTGAGCAGAAGCCACTGCCAGGGGATGTGCGCTCTGTGGGGACGGGCTGAGGGGGGCCTCATGGCCTCTGCTGCCTGCTCTGTCCTCTGTATGGAGAAGCTTGGGCTCCAGGAACGCTCTTGTCAGGGCTGCTGTGACTGTGGGCTCTGCTGTCCTTCCTCCCTCTGTGCTGAGCCTCCTTCCAGGACAGGTGCACTTATCAGGGCCAGGGCAAGGGTGGGGCTCTGCCCAGGACACCCCTCTGTCCCCTCCCCTCTCAGTCCTGCCTCCTGCTTCCTCCTCTTCCCTGCTGTGTGTGTTTGGTCCTTAGGACCTGCTGAGGCCATTTGTCTTCTTCAGATATGACTTTCCTTCCACACCTATCCACCACACACACACACACACACACACACACACACACACACACACACACAGACACACACGCAGACATGCACACATACACAGGCACACGTATATACAGACATACAGGCAAACACACACATAAAGACACACATATATGCACTAAGACTCACTGAGGGCCGGGCGCGGTGGCTCACGCCTGTAATCCCAACACTTTGGGAGGCCAAGGCGGGTGGATCACGAGGTCAAGAGATCAAGACCATCCTGGTCAATGTGGTGAAACCCTGTCTCTACTAAAAATACAAAAAATTATCTGGGCATGGTGGTGCGTGCCTGTAATCCCAGCTACTCAGGAGGCTGAGACAGGAGAATTGCCTGAACCCAGGAGGCGGAGGTTGCGGTGAGCCGAGATCACGCCATTGCACTCCAGCCTGGGTAACAAGAGCGAAACTCCGTCTCAAAAAAAAAAAAAAAAAAAAAAAAAAAGACTCATTGAAACAGAGACACACATGTACACACACAGATACACAGAACTGTCACAGGATAAACTAGCACAGACAAAGACTTCGAGTGGCTTTACTTGCCATCCTAAAATGGGGCGAGACTTCATCCATGAGACAGAACACGTGGGTCTAGGAGCTGAGCAGAAGCGTGGGTTGTATAGAGAGGGGAGGGCTGCGGAAAGCAGACAAAAAGAACAGAGGGTGACTGAGCCCTTGTAAGGCAAGAAAGGCTCAGGGAACAAGGGAGAGATCCCTGATGGGGGAGAATCCGGGTCCTGCTCTGGGAAGGATGAGAGCAGAGGGCAGGTCATTGGCATGCGGTTGAAACTGGCCTGTTTGAGAAATTGGCTATTATTTTTCTAAGGTCAGGTAGCGACTCAGTTTCCCTTTGGTGACCTGTGATGTTGGGGAGGAGCTGCGTTGTGCTGTTGGTCTGGTCTGTTGGGGACTGCAGCAGGAGCTCAGCCACTGCCACGGCCTCCTCTGACTGCTGTTTGGCAAAGCTCTCAGGCGGCGCTGATGGCACTGTCCTGGGGAGGGCCTTTCCATAGCGAGGCTGGTGCACCCTGTCCCTGGGAGGATGACCCGCCCTCCTCAGTGCTGCCCTCTGCTGGCTCCTGGCCTCCAGTGTGTCAGCTCCACACGCAGAGCTCTGGGTATCCAAGCCTGGGGGATTATTCTGGCCGGGTCTCCCCGTGCTCTTTAGTGTTGGGAAGATGGGACACCTTCCTGCCCAGCAGGAAGGTGACAAAGGTGGCTCTGGGGGATAGAAAGGGGCTCACTGGGGGATGACTGGGGAGGGAACAGCCCTCTGTCTCCAGTGTCACCAGCCTGGCCTCTGACCTGGAGAAAGAGACCCAGGCCCTGGGGTCTCAGGTGGAGCTGCAGCTCCCAGGTGTGGAGGGAGGTGTCCTGTGTGTTCTGGGGAGAGAAGACTTTGGTGGAGGGAGGTGGGAGGCTCTGGGCTCTGCTGTCCTTGGGGAAGGCTCCAGGGACCCTCCCTGTCTGTTTCTGTTGGCTGAGCTGTGGCTCAGGGGCTGTCCATGTTCCCCCTATGTTCACCCTTCAGCCTTGGAGAGAGAGGGGTGGGGCGGGGAGAGAGAGAAAATAGAGAAGAGATGGAGGGAGAGAGAGAGGAGAGAGAGAGAAAAGGAGAGGGTGTGTGTGTGTCTGTCTGTGTGTCTATCTGTGTGTCTGTGTGTCTGTCTGTGTGCGTGTGTCTCTTGTGGCCACCACACCTTCCCCATGGGTGATGCCAGCAGGGAGTGGGAAAATGCACAAGGACCCTTGGAAAAGCAGGTCCCACGAAGGAGCAGGCACGTGGGAAGGACCAAAAGGGTCTTTTGGAGCAAGGGCTGGAAACCAGGCTCCACCTTCACCTGCGCCTCCTTAGCAAAGCCACGTTCCTGAGCGTTATCTGTGTGCAATGTCGCCCCCTGGAGGGCAAGAGGAGACCTGCGGCCTTTTCAAGGGCTGCCCCAGGGATGCTGACCAGCCTCTGTGTGGTATGAGCCTGCACGACCCCAGGGCAGAGGTGGGCTCTGACCTCCAAACTGCAGGGTCAGGTCACCCCGGGTCCTGCTTATGGCAGGTCCCCAGCCTGCCTAACTCCATGCAGTGCAGAATGAGCTCAAGGAGAGGACAGGAGTTGCCCAGAGAACAGCAGGTCAAGATTTGGAGAACTGTCCACCAGGGGGATGGGCTGCCTAGGAGGGAGCCATCTGTCCCCAAGGTTTCAAAGGAAGGGCCCAGGGAGGTGTCTCTGGGGGCTTTAGAGAGAGGACACCGGCCTGGAAGACGGTCCCCAGAGTGCCCTGTGTTCCTCCACCACCACAGCACTGGGAGTTCTGCCTCCACGTCATCTGTGTCCCTGTCTGTCGTCTGCTCCAGGCCTCCCTGCAGGGCCCAGAAGCTGAGGCAGTTCCCACCTGGAGACTCAGTCAGGGGGGTTCCTGGTTCCTCTGTTAGGGGAGGGGAGGCCCGTGACCCTCAGCCTCTCTGAGAGGGAAGCAAAGGCTGATCCTGGGTTATCCTGTCCCCTCCTGCAGAGGAAGTTCCCTGGGACCCCAGCACTCCTTGGGGTAGTGAGAGGTCTGCAAGGACCACAGCTAGGTGCCCCCATCTCCAGGGACCCTCGGGGTTGGTCATCACCGGGCTTCCTTGTGGCCAGGTGGGGCTCGGTCCTACCCTGGCAGTCACTGCGTCTGGGATGGAGGATCCAGGTCTGCAGCAGGTCAGGTGTCTGTGTGAGAAGAGGAAGGACATAGGCTGCCGCCCAGGCCCTCCTGGGAGACGTGACGTCACTCACAAGTCAGAGACGGGGAGGGGGTGTCGGTGTTCTGGGAAGAATCAGATTCTGACCCCTGGCTGTTAGAAAGGCCTGTCCTACCTCCAGAAGCTCCGAGGGTTCAGGCCCCGTCCCTGGGGCAGCCGCGGGCACTCGCTGGCCTCCTCTCGCGCTGGCGCCCCCGTGTCCACACGGGACAGGCTGGCTCCGGGGGTCACATGGAGGTGATGAGCTTCTGTTGGGTGGCCCCTCATCCATTTAACTAGTATTTATTGAGCGTCTGCTCCGTGTCAGGCCCTGGGCTGGGCCCTGGGATTCCACAGAAAGCAGGACAGACGTGACACCTGCGCTCACGGAGTTTCCCTGTAACAAGGAGAAGGCGCTCCGGGAACCTCCTGGGACCGAGGAGCTCATGAGAACGGGAGTGGGGCTGTGAGCAGACAGCGTCGGGGGCGTCGGCGCCTGCGAGGGGCTGAGCTGCCCTGGAGAAGCCCTTTAAGCTGAGCCCCTGGAAAGAGCGAGTGGGGGGCGGGGCAGGAGCAGCCTGCAGAGGGAGCCGCCTCAGGGAGGAGCTGACGGAGCCCCGTGGAGAGCTCGGAGGGCGAGGAAGGCGTGGGCTGAGGTCACCGAGTGAGGGCGGGCCCTGCTGGGAGCTCAGCGGCCGCTGGGAGGCTCCAGGCTCGGAGGGACTCTGCCGCCCTCTGGTGGACACTGAGAAAAGTGTAGGCGGAAAAGTCATGACACCAAGCAGCTTTTATGTTTAAAAATCAATTTTTCTGATTTTTATTTATTTATTTATTAATATTTTATTGCATTTTAGGTTCTGGGATACCTGTGAGGAGCATGCAGGATTGTTGCATAGGTACATACATGGCAATGTAGTTTGCTGCCTCCATCCCCATCACCTATATCTGGCATTTCTCCCCATGTTCTCCCTCCCCAACTCTCTACCCTTCACTGTCCCTCCCTCAGTCCCCCCCACAGACCTCAGTGTGTGATACTCCCCTCCCTGTGTCCATATGTTCTCATTGTTCAACACCCGCCTATGAGTGAGAACATGCGATGTTTGATTTTCTGTTCTTGTGTCAGTTTGCTGACACAAGAATGATGGTTTCCAGGTTCATCCATATCCCTACAAAGGACCCAAACTCATCATTTTTTATGGCTGCATAGTACTCCATGGCGTATATGTGCCACATTTTCCCTATCCAGTCTATCATCAATGGGCATTTGGGTTGGTTCCAAGTCTTCGCTATTGTAAACAGTCCTGCAATGAACATACGTGTTCATGTGTCCTTATAGTAGAATGATTTATAATCCTTTGGATATATACCCAGTAATGGGATTGCTGGGTCAAATGGAATTTCTATTTCTAGGTCCTTGAGGAACCGCCACACTGTCTTCCACAATGGTTGCACTAATTTACACTCCCATCAACAGTGTAAAAGTGTTCCTATTTCTCCACATCCTCTCCAGCATCTGTTGTCTCCAGATTTTTTAATGATCTTTTAATGATCACCATTCTAACTGGCATGAGATGGTATCTCAATGTAGTTTTGATTTGCATTTCTCTAATGACCAGTGATGATGGCATTTTTTCATATGTGTGTTGGCCTCATATATGTCTACTTTTGAAAAGTGTTCATATCCTTTGCTGACTTTTGAATGGGTTTGTTTGCTTTTTTTCTTGTAAATCTGTTTTATTTCTTTGTAGATTTTGGATATAAGTCTTTGTCAGATGGGTAATTGCAAAAATTTTTTCCCATTCCGTTGGTTGCCAGTTCACTCTAATGATTGTTTCTATTGCTGTGCAGAAGCTCTGGAGTTTCATTAGAAGAAAACCTAGGCAAAAACATTCAGGACATAGGCATAGGCAAGGACTTCATGGCTTTGTTCACAGCAGCATTATTCAAAATAGCCAAAATGTAGAAACAAGCCAAGCAATATGGCTTGCCTCTGTCCCAACGCAAATCTCACGTTCAACTGTAATTCCCAGTGGTAGAGGTGGGACCTGGGGGAAGGGGACTGGATCATGGGACCGGTTTCCTCCTTGCTGTTCTCTTGATGGTGAGTTCTCATGAGATCTGGTGGTTTGAAGGTGTGTGGACTTCCCCCCTCACTCTCCCTCCTTCTCCTGCTCCCGCATGCAAATGTGCCAGCTCTCCCCTCACTTTCCCCCGTGATTGTAAATTTCCCAAGACCTCTGCAGCCATGTTTCCTGCACAGCCTGAA